ATTCCCAGCTTCAGTGCATAGATGCTACACTTTCTTAAACTGAAGTGACTTGTCCCACCAATTTTTAGGTTGAGCACTTTTTGTGAATAGAAATTTATGCCAACTTTAACTTCCTCTTTGGCTCCTGAGCCTACCCATCACACCTTTTCCTCTGATGTCAGCACCTCTGCTATAGTGCTGTATGACCCATATGAGTTTAGCACTTATTTTTCAAATCCCTATACAATACTATAATAATTGCCAATTTTGACTTTTCTCTCTTAGGCTACGCTTCATTCTGATGTCAGTACCCCTGCAGCATTTTGTGATGTGCAGTATAACCCATATGGGTTCAGCATTTTTGTGTGAATATTGTACTGTTTAATAATTTATAACGAAACATTTACAGTGTAATAAAAATTATACAGTTAAGCACTGGTGGCTATAATATACTGCATGCAAGTTTTTGTGATGCCTTAAGGCCCCCAGATGAGCAATCCTCCTTAAGGGAGGTGTCTTGATGCCTCTCGTTTTCCAGATGCTACATGTCTCCAATGGGTTTGGCACTTCCTCTGGTTAAAATACGTACAATAAATAATAATGTTTGGGCTCTGTAGGTGCTAATTCACCAATTTTATTGAAATAATCCCTCAAGGGAGATACCTTGATACCTGTGTGGGGCTTTTGATCCAAGGAACTTGACATCCCTCCCTTGGATAGGCTCTCAATGCCTCCCATTCACCAGGTGCTATAGGTGTGATTCCTATGGGTTTAGTGCTTCTTTCTAGTTAAGAGAGAGAGTGAGGGTTAGTGTAAGAGTGAAATCAGAGTTGGTGCAATAGGCTAGTTTCCTTAAAAGAAGTCATGATAAATTTGGGGCTTTCAGCAAGAAAGTCCATGTGAATGAGTACAGCCTCTCCTCACTTAACGACGGAGTTCTGTTGCTGAGACCTCGTTGGTAAATGAATTTGTCGCTAAGTGAGAAGTATACTATTATCATAGTGGGCGTGTGTCAACCATCTTTGATATTGTTTGAATGTTACCTTTGCACCATTTATAACATTTCTGGTATATTTTTAAATGTTTATACAGTAGTGTACTGTATATTGAAATAAAGTGAATAGAGGAAATCAGCTTTAATATACATTATTTAGATATGCACACTGGTCAGAAAGCCCGTCGTAAGTCTGAGTCGTTGGTAAATGAGTACATCGTTAAGTGAGGAGAGATTGCATATTGGGGCAGTTTAGATGAATAAGATGAGACATTCCCAAATTATGTATACCATAAAATTCAATATTCCTATTTTCAATCTTTTTAGCCTCTGGACATTCCCACTTTTGCACATCCCTTCCCACAGTGCTGTGTGACTTTTATGGATTTATTGCTTAATTTGATTATCATAATCATCTGATCAACTAACTTGGGAACCTCATCTGATTGCCTAATTTGGGAATTTCTTATCTGATCGGCTTCAAACCTTCAATACTGATAATTTGACAATACAATTTCTGAGTGGCTTCAGACTCAGAGGATGCTACTTCTAATTGGCTTAGAGCATTCATAGCTGATGTATCTTAATTGAAGCTTCAGATTGGTTTGGCTTCCTCAGCTTTAGTGCATAATAAGCCATGTGAGTTATGTGAATTTTCTGAGTAAAATACCTCTCTTGACCCCTCAAGGGGTCAAGAGAGGTATTATACCTGGTGAGGGGCTCTTGATCTAGGGAATTATATCTGTGCTCCAACTTCCTGAATTAAGCCAAAATGCCCTCCTCCCTACAAAAGCAAAACACTTAGCAGACAGTACAGCATTCCCCCAGTGAAAAGCAGGGGTGCTGTGAGTATGCTCAGAACAACACAATAAGTGTCAGGGGCCCAAGGCTGTTCAACTGTCTCCCAGCATACGTAAGGAGGATTACAATAGACTCCTGGCTGTCTTCAAGAGGTAGCTAGGCAGACACCCAAAGCCAGTACCTGTCCAGCCAGACTGTGGTATGTATGTCTGTGTGCAGCCAGCAGTGACAGCCTGCTTGATCAGATCCTGATCCACCACAAGGCCTGGTCATGGCCCGGGCCTGGGGACGTTGATCCTTGGAATATCCTCCAGGTATACTCCCCCCCACAGGTGCTGTATAATCCCTTTGGGTTTAGTGCTCCCCCATAATAATACCTCTCGAAGTTTCTTGATGCTGGCAGTGCTGTATGACCCTTGTGGGTTCAACACTTAGTTTTTCATTTTAATAATCCTTGATGCTGGTGAATTCTTGATCTAAGGAATTTGACCTGTGCTCCCCTTCCTTGGATCAAACCTGAATGCCTCCTATTTCCCCAGATACTGTATGACCCCTAAGAGTTCAGCGCTTCATGAGTGTAATAATTTTAATTTAATTCTATTAATCCCCATTATAGGATCAAACTTGATCACCTCCCACTTCCTTGGTGCTTTCAGGGGCATGCCAGTTCTCCTGTTTTCTAATATGTTATTTTCCCCTTGTAATCTACCTTGTAGTTATGGACAAGGCAGATTATAGGGGAAAAATAATCATGGTATTAGGAGACAGGGAAACTCACACACCTCTTAAGTAAGTTTATATACAAGTACACATAAATACCTTTATACAAATTATCATATGGAGTAATGTGTAAATTGGGAAATAAGACACATGTGCAACAGTTAAGTATCTTTATTCCGAAGCGTTTCGCCTACAGAGTAGGCTTCTTTAGTCGAGTACAAAAAAGCTGGCAGAAGCAGATGAGATGTGAAGATGATGCAATCATTCCATTACCAAGTTTGGAACCCATACCAAGCCAAGCATGTAAGGAAACTAAAGGTTTGCAACAAGACTAGCCCCGGAGCTAAGGGGTATGTCCTACGAGTAGAAGTTAAGGGAAATTGACCTGACGACACTGGAAGACAGGAGATGTAGGGGGGACATGATAACGACATAAAATACTAAGAGGAATCGACAAGGTGGACAGAGACAATGTCCCAGAGATGGGACACAGCAACAAGGGGACACAGTTGGAAGTTGCAGACTCAGAAGAATCACAGGGATGTTAGGAAGTATTTCTTCAGTCACAGAGTTGTCAGGAAGTGGAATAGTTTGGGAAGCGATGTAGTGGAGGCAGGATTCATACATAGCTTTAAGAAGAGGTATGATAAATCTCATGGAGTAGGAAGAGGCAGGGCCAGGAGCTGTGACTCGACCCCTGTAACCACAACTAGGTGACTACTGATTGCATTCCCTTCACATTTCTGCTTCTGCCAACTTTTCTGTACTTGACTGAAGAAGCCTACTGTGTAGGCGAAACGTTTCGGAATCAAGATATTTAATTGTTGCACGTGTCTTAAAAACCTATCGGTATTTTATACCATTTTAATATTCACAATGTGTAAATTATCTAGGATAACCCAAGAAAAAGTCAATGTGTTATTCCCATTGGGTTATGGCATAATAAGTAAAAAAGTCACTAATGTTTAAAGACTACTATATAACTAGACATGAGTAATTAAATCGGAGTTTTTAAATGTACAAAAAATGATATGTAGCTAAATGAACAATAGTACAATTTTATGCATTAATTCTTGACTGATTCCCCTCAAGGGAGGTTCCTTGATGCTGGTGAGGGGCTCTTGATCTGGGGAATTGGGACTGTGTTCTACTTCCCTGAATTAATTCTGAGTGCCTTTTCCCCCTTTCCCAATAGACGCTGTTAATCCCTTGGGGTTTAGCGCTCCCCCATGATAATAAATATTTTGAACTGACTCAGTGATCTTCAGTTAGTGTGATTTCCTAAGAAATTCTCTGTATATTAAGGAGCTTTGTGCCTGGAGTTTACCTGGAGAGAGTTCCGGGGGTCAACGCCCCCGCGGCCCGGTCTGTGACCAGGCCTCATGGTGGATCAGAGCCTGATCAACCAGGCTATTACTGCTGGCTGCACGCAATCCAACGTACGAGCCACAGCCCGACTGGTCAGGTACCAACTTAAGGTGCTTGTCCAGTGACAGCTTGACAGCACTCACACCTGTCTTACACCTGTGTAGGAACATGTGCTGTATGACCCTGCCGGGTTCAGTGCTTCTTTTTGATTATAATAATAATATACAAACATTGTATCATGCTGAACTAGACTCATCTTAACCTTAAATGTTCCTTTATTGGGTCACCTGTCCTAGTGTAAGTTTATTCAGATACAGATATACATAAATAGTTACATAAATTATCATACATAGACTTAAGAAGTTATGTGCTAGGATTAGTCCGTCTGTGGAAAATTTTTACATAATTTCCTAACTGTGGGATACATAAATGAATAATATAATAACTGTGTGTTAAAATGTGATGCTATTTTGACCCTTCGAGGAATTTCGAATGAGGGGGGTAGAACACCAGCTAAGTGACGCCGGAGAGGGGGATGACATATTGAATTTAATGTGTCTGCAATGTAATTCGGTGTTTTTTCCGAGTCCAATTTGGGGTGTTTCGGCCTGAATTTGTAATAGGAACCTGTATTAATGTCCCCTGCTGAAGAACTGAGATAGGAAATTTGCGGGACCTTAAGACTGCCCGAAATGCCCTGGTATAATAGTGGCTTTCTTTGTATTTAAATCAAAATTGTAATTACACATTTATAACCTTTGCAAAGAAACAAAAATCTTCAAATTCTTTTTAGCAGCATATGTGTGGATTATTAAAGGACCCCAATGGAAATAAGTCACTTTGCCTGACTTTTTTGGGTTATCCTAAGTTCTCTACACATATGCTGCTATGTATGATAATCTATATAATTGTATTTGTGTATACCAGAATAAACTTACTTGGATAACCCAAAAAAATCAAAGGGGCTTATTTCCATTGGGGTCTGTCAGTGTGTTAAAGTAATAATAATAATCTTTTTCTTCCTGCTGCTGAATAGATTTTAGATTTTGCCACCGAAGTGGTCTCATGCTGAATAAAAAAAAATATATTTTTATGATTTATTCAATATTAAAATTCTTTTAGGTTCGTGTATTGTAAATAGTGAGGTGTTGATCAGTGTTGTGTCAACACAGCTGGTGGAGTGTCAGGTGGTCAGTCAGCTGGCTCCAGGACCACCTTACCCACCATGACTGACACTAAACATGATGATAATATCTTATATGAGCTGCTGGTTCACGCGGAGTGGCCATTAGAACAAGAAATAATAGTAAGGAAGTGTCATTGTAGTGTTGCAAGCACCGTTATTGTTCTCACGTCTGTCTTATTGTATTTAACACATCAAGGGAGGTTCCTTGATGATGGTGAGGGGCTCTTGATCTAGGGAATTGGATCTGTGTTCCATGTCCTCGAATTGAGTCTGTCTTCCATCCCCTCCCCAGGCACTATAATCCATACGGTTTTAGCGCTCCCCCGTGATAATTATTGTATTTCTGTTGTATGAGAGTAACTTGATGTATCTTCACCTTCTCTCTTCACTCACTCCACAAAACTGATGATCATTGAACAACTTTGAAATGATAAGTCGTACTTTTGAAATTGTACCACAAGGAACCTGATTGTTCCATGTGGTACAATTTACACATGTTACTGTGTATGATAATTGTACTTATGTGTACCTGTACCTAAATAAACTTACTATTTGCTACCTTTCTTATTGTGCATATGATTGTAATTAACTCCATAAGAAATCTTATTTAATAGGACTGGTGGCTAAAGCTCTCGCTTCACACACTGAGGGTCCGGGTTCGATTCCCAGCGAGGTGGAAACATTTCAGTGTGTTTCCTTACACCTGTTGTCCTGTTCAAGCCTGTGATGAATGGTTTAAAAAACCGACAAGTTGAAGATTGAGACACTTAAGCAGCATAAGGGAATCTTTATTCAGGAAACGTTTCGCCACACAGTGGCTTCATCAGTCCAATACAAAGAGGAAGGCATAAGGAGAGGAGGAGTATGAGGTAATCAGTCACTCAGCCTGGAGTCGATGTGTTCAGTCCATCAATCTTGATGGACTGAACACATCAACTCCAGGCTGAGGGACTGATTACCTCATACTCCTCTCCTTACGCCTTCCTCTTTGTATTGGACTGATGAAGCCACTGTGTGGCGAAACGTTTCCTGAATAAAGATTCCCTTATGCTGCTTAAGTGTCTCAATCTTCAACTGTTCAAGCCTAGAGAGGTTTGGCCCAATGGATAACGTGCGAGGGTGACTAGCATTGGCTAGTGAATTTCTAGTAGAAGTAGGGAAGGCACTGGAGCCCGATATTTAGGTTTAAGGAGAAATGACGGGTAAGGAGGCTTTGCACCAGAGAGCAACTATTATGCTGGCCAACTGCGAGGTGTACTGATTACGCTGCCTTGTGGTGGATGAGGAGGTTGAGGGAAATATATGTAGTTGAATAATTTTGTATTATGTATAATTTTGTCTTTGTATTGTAATAGATTTAAGGGGTTAGGATTAAAATAGTCTAATAACTAGCACAAATTGTCCTAGTTCTCAGATATTTTAAATTGGGGGAGAAAGGGGGATGTGATGTAGCCCAGCTGGGCTTGTGAGGTCTCTGGGGAGACCTAATTTAACCAATTATATGGTCACACCTTGCCTTGGCAAATGTCTGTCAGAGCCACGCCTTTTCGGCTTAATACTGAGGTCTTTTGTTCTGGATGGGGGTCAGACCTCGACGTCAGATCAACACCACGTGTGCACACTTCATTGTGGGGGGGTGCTCTCGGGACAATATAAGCCCAAGGAACAGCTGAGCAGACAGATTCGGGCAGAGCTCTGGCCTGGGAGCAGAGCTGAGCTGGAGAGTCTCGGGAGGAGAGACTGTTGGAGACATTGAGCAGAGTACTGGCTTGGAGCAGTACTTGTGTTGTGTAGGTCTTGGGACCTGTGGCTTAGTTCCTGTGATGAACTGTCCTCTGAACTATATTGTAAGTTATATTCATTTTCGTCAAGTTGATTGTTCCCTGTCTCACTGCTATAAGAGATAAGATAAGATAAGATTTCGTTCGGATTTTTAACCCCGGAGGGTTAGCCACCCAGGATAACCCAAGAAAGTCAGTGCATCATCGAGGACTGTCTAACTTATTTCCATTGGGGTCCTTAATCTTGTCCCCCAGGATGCGACCCACACCAGTCGACTAACACCCAGGTACCTATTTGCTGCTAGGTGAACAGGACAACAGGTGTAAGGAAACGTGTCGAAATGTTTCCACCTGCCGGGAATCGAACCCGGGCCCTCAGTGTGTGAAGCAGGAGCTTTAGCCACCAGGCCACCGGGCCACCCACCAGGCCACCGGGCTATGTGTACCACCCCATTTATCTAAACCCCAATGATGTACTCCTGTTCCCAAATATATTATTGTACAAGGACTTAATAATAAACTGTGTTTGAGTAGAATAGTAATATTTACTGTCCCCGTTATTTTCTCCATTTATTTATGTTTAGTTAAAGCAGTGAGAGGGTGAGTGTAGTGTGGTGAGTAGAGTAATGAGAGGTGAAGGTGGTCACCAGTGACCTCACATTACCTACCTACCGCTCACCTCTCCTGTCATCTCCTACCACCTCGCCTGCCTGTCCCCTGCCTACCGACTCCCTTACTCCCATATTCCCCCAATCATTACCCCCCTACATAACACCTGGGTGGTAGTCGACTGCTGTGGGTTGCATCCTGGGGGACAAAATTGAGGACCACAATGGAAATAAGTTAGACAATCCTCGATGACGCACTGACTTTCTTGGGTTATCCTGGGTGGCTAACCCTCCGGGGTTAAAAATCCGAATGAAATCTTATCTTAAATCTCAAGTAATGTTTAAGCTTTAAGATTAGTTTGCCCGAAATACATTGCATATTAATGGCTTTCTGTAATGCCAGCCAGTGTTATATTACATGTAAACTACATTATTTGTACCACATAAAGAAATAAAAATTGTATGTGCTTACCTGTATGTGGTTCCAGGGGTTGAGTCTCATGTCCCCACAAAAGAGGTTTCTTGATGCTGGTAAAGGGTTCTTGATCCAAAGAATTGGAATTGTTCTCCCCTCCCTTGGATTGAACCTGAATACCTTCCATTGCCCTCAGGCATTATATGACCCCCAAGGGTTTAGCACTTCCCAATGAAAGTAATAACAGGTGAATATAAGTTACATGAATGTATCAGTTGCATAAATATATCAGATACATGAATACTGTATATCAGTTATCAAATATATCAGTTATGTAAATATGTCAGTTATATGATTAATATATTTTAATCTTGTAAGCATTCCTTTTTAATCATAGGAGGCCTAGCCTGAGACCGGGCCGTGGGGAAAAATAAGGAGTTGTGATGTATGGGGAGGTTGGTGAGGTCTGTCTTGATGTTAGTTGGGGGCTTTTGATCCAAGGAACTAGACTTGTCCTCTCCTTAGATCAAACCTGAATACCTCCTGTTCCATTTCCTTTTCATTCCCTATAGGATGGATAATGAGAACCTTCAAAACTAGGGATGCCAAGCCCATGATGATCCTCTTCAAATAGCTTGTTCTCTCTAGGCTGGAATACTGCTGTACATTAACGGCCCCCTTCAAGACTGGAGACATTGCAGACCTGGAGAGCGTACAAAGAACTTTCACGGCACACACAAGTGTGATGAGGCACCTAAATTACTGGGAACAATTGAAGGTCCTTGATCTGTATTCCTCGAATGCAGGCGAGAGAGATACATGATAATATACACTTAGAAGGCTCTGGAGAGATTGGTACCAAACCTGCACACGAAAATCACTCCCTATGAAAGCAAAAGACTCGGCAGAAGATGTAACATTACCCCGATGAAAAGCAGGGGTGCCACGAGTACATTGAGAAACAACATAGTAAGTGTCCAGGGCCCAAGACTGTTCAGTTGCCTCCCAGCATACATAAGGGGGATTACCAATAGACCCCTGGCTGTCTTCAAGAAGGCACTGGACAGGCACCTGAAGTCAGTAGGACCTACCTACATGACCAACCGTGCTGTGGTTTGTACATCAGTTTGCATGCGGCCAGCAGTAACAGCTTGGTTAATCAGACCTGACCCACCATGAGGCCTGGTTTCAGACTGAGTCACGGGGGTGTTGACCCTCGAAACCCTCTTCAAGTAAACTCCAGGTACCATTCCCCATTCCTCCCATGCCCATGAACTCTATGGTTTGGGGCTTCATCCTGAAAAAAATATATGAATTTGTCAACGTTTTGTGTGGTCTTGTTAGTCTCTGGCAGAAGAGGAAGCTTTTGTTTGGATTATTAACAAGGAGGGTTAGTAATCCAGGATAACCTAATGAAGCCATGTCATTAGACTGGCTTGTTTTTATAGGGGTCTTTTAATCCTTGCCTCCAGATGCCACCCACAGCAATCAGCTAACACCCAGGTACCTACTTCCTGCTAGGTGAACTGGGGCAGCAGGTGTACAGAGCTAACCCAATGTTTCCACTCATTTGGGAACATTGAACCATGGTCCCTTGGTGTTGGTTGGAGCTGCTGTCAATTGAGTTACAAGCACCTGGTGGTTTGAGAGGAGCTGTTTAACCTCTGTGGATGTACCACCTCCATATGAAATTGATAGACACACTGGTAGTTTGATCCCTCTACTTTGTGATCTCTGGTGGTTTGATATCTCTATTGTGTGGTCTTTGGTACCTTGAAATATCAGGTGATCCTATTGGTTCATGGTGGCTTGATTTTTATGTTGTGTGGTCTTGTTGGTCTATGGTGGTTTGAATTATCAGTTGTATGTTTATTTCCTTGTATGTGGTGGCTTGATCTATCAGTCATATGGCTTTGTAGGACTGTGGTGGCTTGATTCATCTGTTGTGTGGTCTCATTAGACTGTGATGGCTTGGCATATGTCTGGTGGTCTTGTTTGTAATTGCTTTAACTAGCTGTCATGTGGTCCTGGTGGTCTTTGGTGGCATGGTGCATGTGTCATGTGGCCTTATTGGTCTTTGGTGGTGTGTGGTCTTGTTTCTGTTAGATAATTTAAATATTTCACCAGAAACCCTTCACTTGAGGACATAATGGCCAGAAACATCATATGGTTCCTCTCTTAAGTGCAGGTTTTTGGTAAATTGTTCTAGCCATGGTATTGTGACTTATTATTTTTTTTTCATAATATGTATAAGCATAGAAAGCCCATTTCTTTTTAAAGCCTTCTCTCTAATATAAGGGAATTATCAGTAACGGGAGTTTTCCTTCAAGTTCCTTGATACTGCTGACAAAGGGTTCTTGTGCCAGGGAGTTGGAATGACCCTCCCCTTCCTTGGCTCAAACCTGACTGCTTCTCATTGTCCAGATGCTGTATGACTCCTATGGGTTTAGTGCTTCCTCATGAACATATATCAAGGGGAGTTTGATAAGTTTCTCAGTGAAATTCCCTGAGCTGTTGATAGACATCATTGATGTTGACTGCATTAACTATGCCTTTATTCTTTAAAACTGTTTGAATATTAAGCTGGTTTTATCCAAATCGACTTCAGTATCGAAAATAAATAAGATTTATAATATCTGCTTACCTTGTTTTCCTCATTTTCCATATTTCAAACCCCTAAACTCTGTTGTAGATAATTTTTTTTAATATTGCAAAAAAGTATACAGTGGACCCCCGCTTAATGATCACCTCCCAATGCGACCAATTATGTAAGTGTATTTATGTAAGTGCGTTTGTACATGTATGTTTGGGGGGTCTGAAATGGGCTAACCTACTTCACAATATTCCTTATGGGAACAAATTCGGTCAGTACTGGCACCTGAACATACTTCTGGAATGAAAAAATATCGTTAACCGGGGCACCACTGTACTTGGAAAGTTACTGGTAACTAGAAATTTGAAGTATAACATTTTATTTTCCTTATCTAGGGAGGTGGTGCAATTAGTCTTGGTGGGAATTTCTTCTATCGAACAGTCACCCAGACTCCGGCAAATATCTGGGCACTTGCATCTTCACTCTGGACATATGTTAAACCTCCACCAGCTCTTTCTCCAAGTTTAGCCAAGTAAGTTTTATAAGTTGGGTTTTATACACGGTACAGTACTGTACATTTATATACAGGAAAGCCCTGCTTTACAGCATTTCGCTTTACGGTGTTTCCCTAATACATTGGTTTTCAATTATACCCATTCTTCATTTATTCAGACTTCATACAGTAAATACATGTATATTCACCACTCACTATAAGCTAAGGACAAAAATATTTTAAGGTAAGTAATGTGTGTACTGCCTGTGCATTTTTTATGCCTAGCTCTATTGCTCACTTCATTAATATATGATAGTATAAACATGTTATCAGGTTTTTATATGCACTTGAAAGTGAAAAAAAGCTATATTTTACTTTACAGCAATTTTCACTTTACAGCAGTAGCCCGGAGCCTAACCTGCTGTATGAACAGGGCCCTCCTGTACATACATTGAGAAACATTATGCATATTGTATTTTGAACATTTACATTGTCTTCCAACTCATCTATTTATATCATGCAAATATGCTAATATAATTTTGATATTTAACAGACTAGTTGGAGGACGTTCAGGATGGCAGCTTGGTGTGGGTGCTCAAGGAGCTGTTGTGGCCATTGTACAGGCTGCCACTCTGGAGATTCGTGCCAAAAAAGATGACTTTGCATCTGTTGTTGGCAGGAATACTAATTGTAAGACATACTGGCAATAATTTTTCCTAATTGCTTTTATGTTAATCTAATACAGTATTGTAGTATATAAACTAATACAGTAAAACCTTGATTTAACAAACTAGTAAGGAAGAGATGGTGTTTAAGAAAGCTGATTGTCTGGTCAGTCCAGCAAATGTATGCATATTAAAGTACTCTACAGAAGTTTACAGATGTAATAAACAGAAAATATTGGAGTTAAAAGTACAGTAGACTAATTTATTTTTTTCATTTGTGGTGGATTGAACATTTATTATGAGTTCTGAAACTCTGCTGGTCTAGTTGTAGGTGGTTGACACTGCGTCTTTATGATAATGTCTCTAATGGGCAGAAGTGTTCATAATAGGTCACTATATTTCTTGTGTCTGACTCACCAGTGCAATTGATGAAAACATAATTTGTATCCCATAGAACTGACATTTTTGGTTTCTTCTTCTTAACTCCAGTACAGCCTCCCCTCACTTAATGACGGGGTTCCGTTCCCAAGACCACGTTGGTAAATGAATTTGTTGCTAAGCAAGGAGCATATTATAATGGTAGTGGGTTTGTGTCAGCCATCTTTGATATTGTTTTAATGTCACCTTTGCACCATTTATAAAATTTTTCGTATATTTTTAAATGTTTATACAGTAGTGTACTGTACAGTGGTACCTCAGGATACGAACTTAATTCATTCCAGAGGGCAATTCGAGTGCTGATACTGGACAAATATGTTCCCATTAGGAATAATGTAAATCAGATTAATCCATTTCAGACCCCCAAAAATACACTTACAAAAGCACTTACATAATTGTTAGAGGTTTGAGCTGTTTGTATCCCAAGGTACCACTGTACGTTTATTGCAATAAACAGAATAGAGGAAATCATCTCTAATATACATTATTTAGGTATGCATACTGGTCAGAGAGCCCGTTGTAAGTCCGAGTAGTTGGTAAACGAGTACATACGTCGTTAAGTGGGGAGAGGCGTACTTGATTAAGAGGCTGTGGTTTGTCACTTTTTTTTTTTTTTTAACACCATTCATTCCCCACTGAGGTAGGGTAACATGATGAAAGAATAAACACTTTTGCCATCATTTAATCAATCACTGTTTTGCCAGAAGCATGATGACATCACAGTTCAGTGATCATAATTTACTTTTTTATACTATTTATTTTTATTAACACATGGGTGTTTACCCAACGAGGCAGAGTGACCTGAAAAAGTAGAAACACTTTCATCATCACTCTCCATCACTGTCTTGTCAGAGACATGCCTACATTGGCCATGTTACCTTACACCTGTTCCTGTTCACCCATCAGTAAAATGGGTATCTGGGTGTTAGCCAACTGGTGTGGGTTGCATCCTGAGACAAGATTGGCCTAATTTACCCGAAATGCTCTACATAATAAGGGACTTCTATATACGTGTAGTTGTATGTCACTGATGTCAGCTAGGCCTGTATACCTTGTATATGGTTATTTCTTTCTTATGTGCAGCATTTTTTGGGATGTAAAGATGACTTACATATGTATCAACACTTTCACACATCTTTCACACACACACACACATGCACATACTGCTTTTGTATGAGTTTGTATAGCAATATAAAATACACAAGTTATGGCTATCACCTCTGTCAGAAAAACTCTACAAGGTACTCTTCTTCTTCAGTGTTTGTTGACCCGTTCCCATCATGGCGCCGTGTAGCTTGGTCTGCAGACTGTTCTATGGTTGGTGTATCATACAGCTCTGGTACTGTTGAGATTTTTAACACACTAGGGACATCTATCTTCACTATCTACCCTCCAAGGTAAGATTTTGTTATAAACTCTGAAGTATATTGGAAGAATTCTGTTAATCTAAATATGGTACAGCAACCTTTTCATTATTTACTCCCTTCAAAAGGTGTTGAAACCTGGGAAGGGTAACTGATCCAATGAATAAGGGCTACTGTTCTCATCTTGGAATCAAACCTGATTACTTTCACTTTTCCTGTTTCCCAGGCATTGTGTGACCCCTTTGGTTTTGGTGCTTCCCTGTGAATATACTGAATAATTATAATCATATTTTATTGTAGATAACTATACAGTGAACCCTTGATTTAATGGGCTAATAGGGGCTCTGCTGAAGTCAATTGTCCATTAAATCCAAATTATGGTAATTTTTTCCATGATCGTAAGAGTAATGAATAATTCTGAGCAAATTAACCCAGTGGATCGTACTAATAATGTTCATTTCTTCTAAATGTTTTCCAGTTACAGAATTTAGGGTCCATTAAATTAAAGGTTTTTGCTGTAATATTCTTTTTGTGTACAGTGTAGCAAAATTTGTCAGAGAAAGTACTGTACAGTAGTTTTAGACAGAATGAGAGGTTTGATTTTTTAAACACACTGGCCTTTTGACCTGAAACAAAAAAAGAAACACATTCACCATCACTCATTCAGTAGCTGTCTTTTCTGAAGTGTGGAGACATCACAGTTCAAATAAACATCCAAATTCCAACATCCCCACCCTTCCTTCAGAGTCCAGGTACTACTTCCCAGTCCTGGAGATGTGAAGTACAGTGTCTGTACTCTGAAGGGGAAGTGGGGATGTTGCAGTTCAGAGGGTCAGTAGATCTGTGTTATCTCCACACTTTTGGCAAGACAATTATTGAATGTGTTTTTTGTTTTGTTATGTTTTGGGAACTCAGCTTAGTGGGGATTGCCAGTGTTGAAAAATAGGCTTTAAATATTTGTAATATAAGTGGTATAAATATAGTTTGTCTTTTCTTAAGGTATAAATGACCACCTATTCCACTTTATTTGTAGAGAAATAGTGATGACTGGTAAATTCAATAGTATAGTTGTGGTGAGCTGTGACGTATGAAAGAAAATTGAAGACAGGAGATACATCTGAATTTTCAATAACATGGAGGTATTGGGTAGATGGCAAGAATATTTTGAGGAACTTTTAAATGTTAAGGAAGAAACAGAGGCAGTAATTTCATGCACTGGTCAGGGAGGTATACCATCTTTTAGGAGTGAAGAAGAGCAGAATGTAAGTGTGGGGGAGGTACGTGAGGCATTATGTAAAATGAAAGGGGGTAAAGCAGCTGGAACTGATGGGATCATGACAGAAATGTTAAAAGCAGGGGGGGATATAGTGTTGGAGTGGTTGGTACTTTTGTTTAATAAATGTATGAAAGAGGGGAAGGTACCTAGGGATTGGCAGAGAGCATGTATAGTCCCTTTATATAAAGGGAAAGGGGACAAAAGAGACTGTAAAAATTATAGAGGAATAAGCTTACTGAGTATACCAGGAAAAGTGTACGGTAGGGTTATAATTGAAAGAATTAGAGGTAAGACAGAATGTAGGATTGCAGATGAGCAAGGAGGTTTTAGAGTGGGTAGGGGATGTGTAGATCAGGTGTTTACATTGAAGCATATATGTGAACAGTATTTAGATAAAGATAGGGAAGTTTTTATTGCATTTATGGATTTAGAAAAGGCATATGATAGAGTGGATAGAGGAGCAATGTGGCAGATGTTGCAAGTATATGGAATAGGTGGTAAGTTATTAAATGCTGTAAAGAGTTTTTATGAGGATAGTGAGGCTCAGGTTAGGGTGTGTAGAAGAGAGGGAGACTACTTCCCGGTAAAAGTAGGTCTTAGACAGGGATGTGTAATGTCACCATGGTTGTTTAATATATTTATAGATGGGGTTGTAAAGGAAGTAAATGCTAGGGTGTTTGGGAGAGGGGTGGGATTAAATTATGGGGAATCAAATTCAAAATGGGAATTGACACAGTTACTTTTTGCTGATGATACTGTGCTTATGGGAGATTCTAAAGAAAAATTGCGAAGGTTAGTGGATGAGTTTGGGAATGTGTGTAAAGGTAGAAAGTTGAAAGTGAACATAGAAAAGAGTAAGGTGATGAGGGTGTCAAATGATTTGGATAAAGAAAAATTGGATATCAAATTGGGGAGGAGGAGTATGGAAGAAGTGAATGTTTTCAGATACTTGGGAGTTGACGTGTCGGCGGATGGATGGATTTATGAAGGATGAGGTTAATCATAGAATTGATGAGGGAAAAAAGGTGAGTGGTGCGTTGAGGTATATGTGGAGTCAAAAAAACGTTTTCTATGGAGGCAAAGAAGGGTATGTATGAAAGTATAGTAGTACCAACACTCTTATATGGGTGTGAAGCTTGGGTGGTAAATGCAGCAGCGAGGAGACGGTTGGAGGCAGTGGAGATGTCCTGTTTAAGGGCAATGTGTGGTGTAAATATTATGCAGAAAATTCGGAGTGTGGAAATTAGGAGAAGGTGTGGAGTTAATAAAAGTATTAGTCAGAGGGCAGAGGAGGGGTTGTTGAGGTGGTTTGGTCATTTAGAGAGAATGGATCAAAGTAGAATGACATGGAAAGCATATAAATCTATAGGGAAGGAAGGCGGGGTAGGGGTCGTCCTCGAAAGGGTTGGAGAGAGGGGGTAAAGGAGGTTTTGTGGGTAAGGGGCTTGGACTTCCAGCAAGCGTGCGTGAGCGTGTTAGATAGGAGTGAATGGAGACGAATGGTACTTGGGACCTGACGATCTGTTGGAGTGTGAGCAGGGTAATATTTAGTGAAGGGATTCAGGGAAACCGGTTATTTTCATATAGTCGGACTTGAGTCCTGGAAATGGGAAGTACAATGCCTGCACTTTAAAGGAGGGGTTTGGGATATTGGCAGTTTGGAGGGATATGTTGTGTATCTTTATATGTGTATGCTTCTAGACTGTTGTATTCTGAGCACCTCTGCAAAAACAGTGATAATGTGCGAGTGTGGTGAAAGTGTTGAATGATGATGAAAGTATTTTCTTTTTGGGGATTTTCTTTCTTTTTTTGGGTCACCCTGCCTCGGTGGGAGACGACCGACTTGTTGAAAAAAAAAAAAAAAAAAAAAATGTGTATGTCAAGAGTGGCATGACAGAATGCTTTAATGAGCTGTATTAATTTGTTATTTAGCTCTAGGTTATGGTGGCTAGCAGTTGGAAGCAGGTAAAATATTGGAAAGTAGTGTGTTATACATTTTAGGGTATGGCAAAGCACCCAAAAGATGGATGTTGTAAAATAGTACAACTAGACTATTAGCAGCAGTGTGATGAAGGCAAAATGTGATATGATTATGAATGATTCATGGAATTGCCTGTTGTTTAAAAGTTTAATTTAATCTCATTTAAAGTGATATTTGCTTGGTTTTCAGTTGTTTGGTAAAACAGCTTGAAAAATTCTACTGATATTGTTGTATGTATTATCACTATTTAAAGTTGAAATGAAGCGTTTGATGTGAACCTTAGGATGAAGATGAGATATCAGAAACATTAGTAGATAGGTCATGTTTATGTTTATACATGGCATTTTGTTTTTATTTTATAAATTAGCAAATTCTAAGACACCCAAATTATTCTTCAGTGTTTTAGTACATCATATTCATGCACTTGTACATGTAACATTTTTGCTATATTGAGACATTCTATGAGCAGATACAGTAATACTATTCAAGTATGGATTATCATTCATGTTGACTTAGGTACCGTGAAGGCGCACCACAGATCGATGCCAGCAATGCTCTTGCTGCACTTGTCTTCTCAGATATTCGAACTCAAAAGAATAAGTGGTAAGTAGCTACAGTATTTATAATATATTACCTTTATAAATGGAGCCATTTGTGGAACCTACATTAAATGATAACTGTATTTGTCAGTCAGTTAAAAAAAAAAAGTCAACTAAGACACTTCTTTTATCTATCATTATTTTTTTTTGTCTTACTGGTCATCTCCCACTGAGGCAAGGTGACCTAAAAAAGTAGAAACAAAAGTTTTTCTTTTTTCGTTTAGAAATTTATACAGGAGAAGGGATTGCTGGCCCTTTGCTCCTGGCATTATAGCCACCTCTTACAACATGGCTTATGGAGGAAGGATTCCTTTCCACGGAGGTGTATTGATATTAAATCACTGCTCATTGATACAAAATGACAAAGAATTTCAGATGATCGACAGAAATGCTCTAATTTTTCTTTGAGTAGAGTAAAAATGTGACCGGACCAAAAAGAAAAAAAGGGGTTACTAGCCCCTTGCTCCTGGCATTTTAGTCGCCTCTTACAACACGCATGGCTTATGGAGGAAGAATTCTGTTCTGCTTCCCCATGGAGAAAAAAAATTATGCCAACAGCATTTGGTGTTCCAGGCTTTCACCCATCCAAGTACTAACCAAACCCAATGTTGCTTAACTTCACTGATCGGATGAAAAGCGGTGTGTTCAATGTGGTATTACCTGGAGTTTACCTGGAGAAGGTTTCAGGGGTCAACGCCCCCGCGGCCCGGTCTGAGACAAAGCCTCATGGTGGATCAGGGTCTGATCAACCAGGCTGTTGCTGCTGGCCGCACGCAAGCTGACGTACGAACCACAGGACTGAAGTTTGAGAGCTGTGGAGGCAAGAGACATGCTGACTGGCTGGTCTTATTGTCTACTGCTGCACAAATCAACTTGAGGGCTCCACATATGAGCCCTCAATTTGAGGGCTCTAATTCCATGAGGAGGTGAACTCATGTATATGTATTGAAACAAATTTGAACAAATGTGAATCTTATGAGCATTAATGTTTTCAGTCTGAGAGCTCATTCCAAGCACCTTCTATGCCATCATATTCACATATGAAGACACTCGTGTATTTCTGTTTTTAACCCTTTCAGGGTTTCGGACGTACTAGTACGGCTTACACACCAGGGTTTTTGACATACTAGTACGGCTAAATTCTAGCGCCCTCAAATCTAGTGAAAGCTGGTAGGCCTACATATGAAAGAATGGGTCTATGTGGTCAGTGTGCGCAGTATAAAAAAAAGTCCTGCAGCACACAATGCGTAATGAGAAAAAAAAAACCTTTGACCATGTTTTTGGATTAAAACAGCGACTTTGCACTGTATTTTTGTATAGTGTTTATTGTTGTATTCTAGTTTTCCTGGTCTCATTTTATAGAATGGAAGACATATTACAGAAATTGAGAGGATTTTGACTGGTTTTACGATGAAAAGTATCTGAAATGAGCTCAAAGTGCAGAAATTTGATTTACCAAGTCAAAAGTAAACAAATCATGCTAAGTTCAATACACGTCACTGGCGTCAATATTCTTTCACAAGTTCGCCGATATTATTTATACATTTCTACACTAAACAGTAGTCTGCATAACAGTAAACTTCTATTTTGTGAGATAAAAATTCAAGTGGAAACAAAAGATGTAAGAGGGGCCTAAAATGAATTCATTACCTGTAAATTAAAAGAAACACTACTGTTTAATCAAGTCTCTTCAAATTCACTTACTCACTCAAACAATAAATACGAATAACTGAAACCTTATAAATTGTATATCAAAGTCCACAATTATCACTAAATGTTAAACCTAGACCATTACTTTGTTATTTTTTAAACCCCTAACTAACAGTACTCATTCACTGAATGAACAGCAATGCATGCAACTAGACTTCTTTGATTCTTTGTGCTTTATATATCTGTTTACAAAATTCTATCAATGATTCATCATGCTTAGTTAATTTAAGTAATTTTAAGCCAGCCCGTAATGCTATGCATATAAGGCTTGGCATGCTTCTCTTACCTGTAGATTTTTTTGTACCTCTGTATGTATGCAATTCTAACTAAATAAATAAATAAATTTGGAAATTGGCATCTTTTGAAATTTGTGTGAAATTGGCAAAATTGCTAAATTCTGACCTCTGTATTGGATAGTTGAAATTGGTAAATGTACTCATTCGATAGAAAAAATGGAGTTCTAGCAAAATAGTTATGATTTTTGTCAACTAGTACACTGGAATTGGCCGAAAATAGGGCTCAAAGTGGGCAAAATCACCGATGCGTAAACATCGTCGAGACTAACTTCGTGAGAGCATAATTCCGTAACTTTTCCATCAAATTTCATACTTTTGGTGTCATTATGATCGGGAAAAGATTCTCTATTTTTTTTCATAAGAATTTTTTTTTTTTTTCGAAATTTGGGTGACCCTGAGAAAAAGTCGGGGAGAGGGCCTGGGGACCCTGAAAGGGTTAAGAATATCTTTCACTGTGGTATTTTTGCATAATTGCAGCCACTCATTTTAAAGTGGTTCCTTGCTGCTGTATACAAGTACTAATTAAAATTATTTTATAAGAGTAATTTGATTGCCAACTTGAAACAAATGTTTGAAAAATTATTTTTAACCTGCATGTAATTTTACACACAGGGCCGCAGAGTTAATATTGGTGGACTATAAAGGAATTGTTCGAAATTATTTTGTCTCTCCAACTGAAGGTTATCAAGAGAGCCATGTCTTCTCCTTCAGCAAGGTGTATCCAAGTGGCATTACTGCAGCTACCAGTCATCAGTAAGATGCAACACATTTTTGTTATCTTCATTACATTTTTTCTATGTGCTTGTATACGTAATTGTTTATTTGTACCTACTGCAATACAGAACATGCTTGTGGCATCCAATCCTTTATCGTTGAATAAAAAAACTTTCATGTGTAATAGGAAATTATTATGAATCACATTTAGACATTGTATCTGCTTTGTATGGAGAAAAGTTTGATATGGTTGGTAAATAAGCTGATTAGTGGATTAATAGAATAAGAGGAAGGTATGACATAATTATAACCCCTTTCTCATGTAAAAATTACTAAATTTAAAAAGAAGGTAAATTTTCTAGTTTTCTTCTTTTTTTGGGTCACCTGCCTTGGTGGGAGATGGCTGGTATGCTGGAAAGAAAAAAGTTATCATTTTTTTTTCAACAAATCGGCCGTCTTCCACCGACGCAGGGTGACCCAAAAAGAAAGAAAATCCCCAAAGAGAAAATACTAAATTATGGATAATTCAAAATAAATATTTGCTCTGTGATGCAAGGAAAATTGTGTAGTAGTAAATGCATTAGGCAGAGCTAATGTAGGAGGATTATCAAATAAATGTATCAAAATATTTTTGTAATAGATTTTCAGAATTCCTAAGTTTTTATTCTAATTAAAAAGTTGCTGTTGCACAGGAACCTGGTGATAGTGGCTGGTTCTTGTGAGTTTATGGATGACACCAACCTTAAGAATAATGGCCTTGGTCATGGCATTACTGTATGGCGCATGGTAAATGATTACCCATTCTATAAACAGGTAAATTTTATCATAAATATATTGTGTGATGTTCTTTTATTAATGATATTCTCTGATATCAATGTATATATTGTTATTATTGCACTTGTAATTTAATATAAAATGCTAGTTTAGTTTACCCTCTAAGACCATTAACTAAAATTTTTGATGTCCTTGAGATATTTCTTCTTAATAAATTTAATGTTTAAATATAAATAATACATCTTTAGATTTATGTAATCTTTTAATATAATTGTTTTGGCTTTCATACAATAATATTTAACACAGTACTTCATGATGTCTTTTTCATTCTTCACTTTGCATTTGGGTAAAAGTCATTTGGTTAAGTTAGTTTTTAATGGATAAAATTTATAGTTACAGTGTGAACTTTATTACTCTTAAACAAATACACACCATAAACTTTAATGTAGTCTCATTTGTTGACAGTTGGTCTGTCATTCTTCTAGACTATGTTTATCACTTACTATCATAGAATACTTTCTCTACTGCTGTTTGTAATGTCTTTCTTTCTTTCAACACACCGGCCGTATCCCACCGAGGTGGGGTGGCCCAAAAGGAAAAACAAAAGTTTCTCCTTTTACATTTAGTAATACAGTGGACCCCCGGTTAACGAACTTTTTTCATTCCAGTAGTATGTTCAGGTGCCAGTACTGACCGAATTTTTTCCCATAAGGAATATTGTGAAGTAGATTAGTCCATTTCAGACCCCCAAACATACACGTACAAACGCACTTACATAAATACACTTACATAATTGGTCGCATTTGGAGGTGATCGTTAAGCGGGGGTCCACTGTATATATACAGGAGAAGGGGTTACTAGCCCCTTGCTCCCGGCATTTTAGTCGCCTCTTACAATACACATGGCTTATGGAGGAAGAATTCTGTTCCACTTCCCCATTGAGGTAAGAGGAAATAAACAAGAACAAGAACTAGAAAGAAAATAGAAGAAAACCCAGAGGGGTGTGTGTATATATATGCTTGTACATGTATGTGTAGTGTGACTTAAGTGCAAGTAGAAGTAGTAAGACATACCTAAAATCTTGCATGTTTATGAGACAGACAAAAGACACCAGCAATCGTACCATCATGTAAAACAATTACAGGCTTTTGTTGTACACTCACTTGGCAGGATGGTAGTACCTCCCTGGACGGTTGCTGTGTACCAACCTACTACCTAGGTGTTTGTAATGTGTTCCTTAGATATTTTTTTTATTTTTTCTCAGTCTTGGTTGTTTAAATTTTTGCATATTAAATTATGATTTAGTAAGCCTTTTGTGGTTGAGATATCTATGTTTTCACTTGCAGGTAGCAACAGTTAATGAAGAAGAATACGTGCCACCCAGTGTTGGTCTGTGGAAGCGTTTAATGGGGCGCCGATCAGTGCCTCATCATGATTACATTTTCCAAATGTGCATTTCCCCCTCTTGTCATCAACTAGCCACATTGCATACCTCTGGCAGCCTCTCTATTTGGGAACTTCCATCCTTGCGGAAAAAAAAATTTTGGCACCTATCCTTGCAGCCACATTACGATGCTGTAAATCCATCCTCGTCTGAGTATATCCCATGCCAGAAGCAGCGGCTCCTTCATTATACAGGGCCTTTAAAGAATCACCCAGCAGATCTTAGTTGGTGGTCAGATGCAGCTGTGATCATAGCACGGTATTCTGGAGCAGTGACTGTTAGCTCGGTTAACTCATTAAGGAATTTGCTTGGAGAATCACCAGAGTTTCTTGAGGGTGTACCACAGGCAAGTAGCCATGAAAAGTTTTAATTATATTCATAGTATCTGGCCAGTTGCATGTCTTGCAGACCCTGTTACATGGACAAAAATGTATATTAAATTTCTGCTTTTTGTTTTATTTATTTATTTCTTTTAACAATTCGGCTGTCTCCCACCGAGGCAGGGTGACCCAAAAAAGAGAGAAACACTTTCACCATCATTCAACACATTCACCATCATTTACACAGTATCACTGCCTCTGTGGAGGCGCCCAGATACGACAGTTTAGATGTCACTCCAAACAGCCAGTATCTCAAACCCCTCCTTTAAAGTGCAGGCATTGTACTTCCCATCTCCAGGACTCAAGTCTGACGTAACATTTTGGGTTTCAGTACAGTAGTGTGACACATTGATAAATCCTGAATGGCTGAAATTTGTCATTACCATAATCATATTTTTTTTCAACATGCTGGCTGTCTCCCACTGAGGCAGGGTGACCTGCAAAGAAGAAATGCTTCTTTTTAAATTTAGTAATTTGTATAGAAAAAGGGGTTACTATCCCCTTGCTTCCATAATCATAAAATATAGATCTTTGTAATATTACAAGAAATAAAAATGCATTATTGGCTACAGCTTAGAAATGTCTTAACCAGAATAAAGGATAAATAGAAAAGACTAACAAAATTTTAGTTTACAATAGAACAAAGTACGTATGCTTATGTGATCATTTTTCTTTGTATTGCAGATAAGTGAGGCGTATGATCGAGGATTTCTCTGTTTGGAGGTAGAAAGTCGGGTGAACACAAAGCGCTTATTAACCACTTCTAATGAAGGTTCTGATGAGGAGGAGTATGTAGATTCAGATGAGGAAGAGGAGTACTCCTTTATTCAGAGATCCAGTCGCCTAGCTAAGAGTGCCCTGTATTGGGTCACAGATGCAGAGAGGTATGGAGCTTATCTGGAGAACGACTCGCAGTGCATTGAGAGTTGTGAATATTTTATATGCTGTATTTATGTTTGAAATATATTATGAGAGCCTAAAGACAGTAAAACTTAATTGAGCGATTGTGCAGTTTTGTAAATTTTTGTTGAGAATGGAGGAATGTATCAGTATAGTGGTACCAATCCTTCTACATGGGTGTGAGGCATGGGCTTTAAAAGGTGCAGTTTTTAGCTTGTGTGGCAAAATGATGCTTGCCTTATAAGCCAAGTTTGCAAGCTCTGGCTAATATGTACGACAGATACATATTCTATTGTCTGCCTCTATATTTTTATGTTTATGATCTGTAATTTTTTGCCTGCTTTTCAAATGTAAATATATTCTTTTTCTCAAACTAGATTTCGACCTCCAAGCAAGAGATCCAAAATTGTGCAGAGAACTTTTCGTTTGTTGTGTCTGAAGAGTACGACTCCCGAAGAACTATTTGCTCGCAAGATTGAAAATGAAGAATACGGAGAAGCACTGGCACTTGCTAACAGCTATAAGTTAGTTTTCATGTGCTGAAATTATGCATGTTTAAATTTTTATTTTTGGAAGTGTTTCTTTTTTGACTCACCCTGCTTCTGTGGGAGGCAGCCAGTGTACTAAAAAAAAATGATTATACAGTACAATATGTACTGTAATTAAGAGAGTTTGAAATGATTGCTTCATTGCAATGATCTGTTATTCTTTAGAAGAAAGCATTATGTTTTGTTTTATGTCTTAATATGCACAACTGAAAAATGTGAAGTTAATTGGTGGAAGGGAAAAGAATGTTGGTTTTGGGATGTTCTGAAGAACTGAAGAAGAACTGAAGATTAATTAATTAGCTAGTTTTGATTTTTTTTATTCCAAGTTTTTTTATATAAATTTTAATGACTATCATCATGCTAATATTTTTCTTCTAAAATATACGAGTCCAGGAAGGTTTAATGATTTCTTTCATTTTTCAGCCTTGACTGTGATCGAGTGTATCAACAACAGTGGCGGAGAAGTTCAGTCACTGTCGCCTCTATACAAGATTATCTTGCCAAGATTCGCAAAAGGTCTTGGGTCCTGGCAGAATGTGTGAGCCGTGTTCCAGAAAATATTGATGCTGCACGTGAGCTGTTAATGTATGGTCTTCGAGGGACAGATCTTGAGGTAACACAAGATTCAAGTTTACTGGCTAAATACATACAGTAGGACCCCCATATCCTCGAACATCCCTATGAAAAGGTTTAATTGACAAATTATGTACAATAAGTTGAGAAGGGGCACTTTTCCATTGATGGGAAGCACTTCACAACTTTCTTAGGCTTTAAAGAACTGTCATCATCACTACTTTTGCACTTTGGTGTCATTATTAAGCAAAACTAAGGGTTATTTTCAGGCCAAGGTAAACTGCGGATAACTGAAACCTCAAAAACCGGACCCGTGGATACGATGGTCTTTTTTTTTTTTTCCAACAAGTCGGCCATCTCCCACCGAGGCAGGGTGACCCAAAAAAGAAAGAAAATCCCCAAAAAGAAAATACTTTCATCATCATTCAACACTTTCACCACACTCACACATAATCACTGTTTTTGCAGAGGTGCTCAGAATACAACAGTTTAGAAGCATATACGTATAAAGATACACAACATATCCCCCCAAACTGCCAATATCCCAAACCCCTCCTTTAAAGTGCAGGCATTGTACTTCCCATTTCCAGGACTCAAGTCCGACTATATGAACATAACCGGTTTCCCTGAATCCCTTCACTAAATATTACCCTGCTCACACTCCAACAGATCGTCAGGTCCCAAGTACCATTCGTCTCCATTCACTCCTGTCTAACACGCTCACGCACGCTTGCTGGAAGTCCAAGCCCCTTGCCCACAAAACCTCCTTTACCCCCTCTCTCCAACCCTTTCAAGGACGACCCCTACCTCGCCTTCCTTCCCCTATAGATTTATATGCTTTCCTTGTCATTCTACTTTGATCCATTCTCTCTAAATGACCAAACCACCTCAACAACCCCTCTTCTGCCCTCTGACTAATACTTTTATTAACTCCACACCTTTTCCTAATTTCCACACTCCGAATTTTCTGCATAATATTTACACCACACATTGCCCTTAGACAGGACATCTCCACTGCCTCCAACCGTCTCCTTGCTGCTGCATTTACCACCCAAGCTTCACACCCATATAAGAGTGTTGGTACTACTATACTTTCATACATTCCCTTCTTTGCCTCCATAGATAACATTTTTTGACTCCACATATACCTCAATGCACCACTCACCTTTTTTCCCTCATCAATTCTATGATTAACCTCATCCTTCATAAATCCATCCGCCGACACGTCAACTCCCAAGTATCTGAAAACATTCACTTCTTCCATACTCCTCCTCCCCAAATTGATATCCAATTTTTCTTTATCTAAATCATTTGATACCCTCATCACCTTATTCTTTTCTATGTTCACTTTCAATTTTCTACCTTTACACACATTCCCAAACTCATCCACTAACCTTTGCAATTTTTCTTTAGAATCTCCCATAAGCACAGTATCATCAGCAAAAAGTAACTGTTAATTCCCATTTTGAATTTGATTCCCCATAATTTAATCCCACCCCTCTCCCGAACACCCTAGCATTTACTTGTTTTACAACCCCGTCTATAAATATATTAAACAACCATGGTGACATTACACATCCTTGTCTAAGACCTACTTTTACTGGGAAGTATTCTCCCTCTCTTCTACACACCCTAACCTGAGCCTCACTATCCTCATAAAAACTCTTTACAGCATTTAGTAACTTACCACCTATTCCATATAACTTGCAACATCTGCCACATTGCCCCTCTATCCACTCTATCATATGCCTTTTCTAAATCCATAAATGCAATAAAAACTTCCCTACCTTTATCTAAATACTGTTCACGATGGTCTTACTGTACCTAAATTCATGTAGAAGTTAGATGTTTGGATGACTTTTAGACACGACGACCACTCATTAGGCAAGACAGGAGTGAATGGAAGTCTTGCACTGATATGTCTAGTACAGCTGTTCGGTGATCCATTGTAAACCTTGGTCAGTATAGAGCGCAATCCATAATCTCATTCAAAGTACCTATATACTGTTTTTGTACTAGTTCTTTAAGCTTTGAATATTTCCTTTCTTTCCACTGCCTGTCCATCCTTTATTGTATATGTATTGTACTATATGTACAGTGCCCGCAGTAACAAACTGGACCTCTTTATTGTTATGAAAATTGTTAAAAAGCAACAATATATACATTATAGAACAATACTTGGTACTTCCTTTAATATTTGTCATCTGCTTGGCCTTGATGAAAACTCAGATGAATGTGTATATATAAATGTGTACATGCATGTGTAGCGTGATCTAATTGTAGGTAAAAGTAACAAGATATACCTCTTACCTTGTGGTTTATGAGACAAAAAAAAAAAAACACCAGCACTCCCTACCATCGTGTAAAACAAAATACAGGTTTTCGCCTTATACTCATTTAGCAGGATAGCAGTACCTCCCTGGGTGGTTGCTGTCTACCAACCTACTACTGTACTGTAATGGTGAAAGTGTTATTTTTTTTTTTTTTTTTTTGGGGGGGGGGGGGGTCACCCTGCCTTGGTGGAAGATGGCCAGCGTGTTGAAAAAACCAAGTACAGTGGACCCCCGCTTAACGATCACCTCCCAATGCGACCAATTATGTAAATGTATTTATGTAAGTGCTTTTGTACGTGTATGTTTGGGGGTCTGAAATGGACTAATCTACTTCACAATATTCCTTATGGGAACAAATTCGGTCAGTACTGGCACCTGAACATACTTCTGGAATGAAAAAATATCGTTAACCGGGGGTCCACTGTATTGCAGTTTTTTGAAAAAAAAAAAAAGAAACAAGTACAGTATTAGTTTTTGTTCTGTTTATATTATTGCTTTTTAATGATTTTCATAATAATAAAGGGGAGGTCAGGTTTATTTTTGCAGGAATTGTATAAATGGCAGATTAAGGAAATTTATAAATGGACATGGCCCATATTGGACAAACCTGTGATGCAGCAGACTTGATTTCCTGCATCACCGTTACTGTCAGACACCTTCCATATAGACGAAGGTGTGATGCAGTAGACTTGGTCTACCACATCAATAATTGTACTGGACACTTCATACACCGGACACTTCATACACCGGACACTTCATACACCGGACACTTCATACACCGGACACTTCATACACCGAACACTTCATACAAAGGACGCTTCATACACCGGACACTTCATACACCGGACACTTCATACACCGGACACTTCATACACCGGACACTTCATACACTGGACACTTCATACACCGGACACTTCATACACCGGACACTTCATACACCGGACACTTCATACACCGGACACTTCATACACCACACCGGACACTTCATACACCGGGACACTTCATACACCGGACACTTCATACACCGGACACTTCATACACCGGACACTTCATACACCGGACACTTCATACACCGGACACTTCATACACCGGACACTTCATACACCGGACACTTCATACACCGGACACTTCATACACCGGACACTTCATACACTGGACACTTCATACACTGGACACTTCATACACTGGACACTTCATACACTGGACACTTCATACACCGGACACTTCATACACCGGACACTTCATACACCGGACACTTCATACACTGGACGCTTCATACACCGGACACTTCAATACACTCTGGACACTTCATACACTGGACACTTCATACACCGGACACTTCATACACTCGGACACTTCATACACTGGACACTTCATACACCGGACACTTCATACACCGGACACTTCATACACCGGACACTTCATACACTGGACGCTTCATACACCGGACACTTCATACACTGGACACTTCATACACTGGACACTTCATACACCGGACACTTCATACACTGGACACTTCATACACTGGACACTTCATACACCGGACACTTCATACACCGGACACTTCATACACCGGACACTTCATACACCGGACACTTCATACACCGGACACTTCATACACCGGACACTTCATACACCAGACACTTCATACACCGGACACTTCATACACCGGACACTTCATACACCGGACACTTCATACACCGGACACTTCATACACCGGGCTTACTGAACTTTGTCTGTAATATGCAAGATCCATTGCATCGGGGTCCATTACACTGAGGTTTTACTGTAATTTTACTAGAATTATTTTTCTCTATGACATAGCAGTGAAGTGCTCTGAGGAATTTATTGTTTTAAATTGTTAGAAATTTAATTATGTAGTTCTTAATGAAAATTTATGGATATGTTATGATTTAAATAAATTCACATACAATGGCTTGTATTTTCAATTTGTATGAAACTGTATTGCATATTCATCAGAAGCCCCTAGCTTTCATACTTCCATATTTTTATTTTGCAGGCAATCATTGCTATTGGTAATGAAACTGACAATGAAGAATTCATTGTGTGTGATTCTAACCTGGATTATGATGAAGGACTTGATGTAGACCCTAGTGAATATGAGGTCAGAGCCCAAGAGAGAGAAGCTAAAGAGCTCAAGAGGAAGCATGAACTTCTTATGCAGGTGAGCCTCTGGCACTACGTCACTACATGTCTTAAGATACTTTCTGCCCTGCTTTCTCACTGGCACCATAGTCAAGGCCTTACTCTCCAAACCCCTGGGAAATTATAATAATTTAGAACATACAACCAGATGCAGTAGATCTGCTGCTATGTGCCAGACAGGTGGACTCCTGCTTAATGACCAAGATAGGGACCAAAGGAATGGTTTGTTAAGTGAAAAAATGCTGAGTGAATCTCATTTTCCCATAGAAATCCTTGTTATAACTTGAGATACGCACCTGGATAATAATGTTCCATGTCAAATTCCTATCTAATTTCTGGTCACAGACTGGGCTGCAGGGGAGTTGACCCCTGAAACCCTCTCCAGGTATACTTCAGGTATCAATTTTTTTTTATTAAGCAGGGATCATTGTACTATGCTTAGTAATCAAGCCAGATCTAACATTTGATATCTCTGCTTGGGAATCTACAGTAAACAGCAGCTGTCATAACAAGATCTAGCTGCTGTAAACAACACGCACTACTTCGGTTTAAATCTTGCAACCTACATTCCACTGTTGCACATTTTCAGAACATTGAACTGTAATTCAAAAATGAATTGAGAAATGTCCTTGAGAGATACAGTAGAATTCTACCCATGGACACAGTACAAGTGTTCCACGAGTGTGATTCATTATATGTATAACTTTTATAGAAATAATAGATCCAAAAATATGGATTATATTAACAGAAGAAACTTTAAAGCTTTAAAAATATAATTTTGTAGTATACTACTCTCAATTATGTAATATATTCTGTGTATTGTATTACTTGTATATGCAATATCTTTAATAAAATCATACTGCCAGTATTGTATCTTTACCATTCCTTTTTCAGCTTGACATGAAGAACTTGACATCAGAACAGAAAAATGTGATAAGGGCTCGACAAAAATTGCTGACTTATCTGGATCGATTAGCTACATATGAGGTAAGTGTTAAAGGAGATAAATACAATTACAGTACAAGTAACCTAGACAGGTGGAAGTACAGTACATGTAGTGCCATTTACAATATTTCAAGAATAAATTACAAAATGCAAAACTACCATCTGAAAAGAAATATCTAGTGGAAAAATAACCACAGAAATCCCTGAGCACTTTCATGCACTTTTTGAAGATGCATGTAAGTGTATGAAAGTGCTCAAGTGTTTGTTTTTTTATTCAGTCACTGGCATTTTTTCCACAGTAATTTTAGTGGGCAAAGAAATATGAGGAAAGGCTTTGTAAACAGCAATTGTTATAAAGTACTGGACAGACTAGCATTGTTAGAGGTAGCTTAATTGAATGGTGTTTCTGTAAATTTGGGACTGTCAAATGGGCATCAACATGAACTGTGAGTTTCACTGGAAAATCCAAGGCCTGTAGAAGAGTACATTCCTGTTTAGTATGATGGTGATTTGCATATTTTCATTGTAACAGACTTTATACAGTATTGTAACCAGATATTTAGTCAGCATGCAAAAGATGAATTGAACAATGTACCAGAGAAATTTAAGTCAAAGGTTTTCATACTGTTGCCTGGCAGGTGGTCTACCCAGAACCTTGTCAGTGCCATGCCACTTTTCATTAATTAACAAAGTTTTCAACATTGTATATACTACAATGACAATTGTAGTGACTGGCCTATATCCTTCAGCCAATTGATGAGGATCTGAAGTGTTTACTACAATATCATACTAATAACAGATGCCTTTATTAACTTCACACTTTTCTATATTAGAACCTCTTTGTTGCATTTTCTTTCAGGTACTTCTTGGTGGTGCTCACATTGCACCTGAACATTATGATGTATCATTCTTTGACAAGTTTCGCAGCCAGTCAGCCATCTCTGCTACAATAGAGTTTGCCCGCAACTATGACTGGCGTGGTGTTGATGCCATGTTCACTTATCATGGTGGAGAGACTTTGCCCCATCGTCTAGCTGTTTTATCAAGCTTTCCACCAACTATGGGACCTTTCGAATACAGGTAGATATTACAATGCCTCGGTGGGAGACGACCGACTTGTTGAAAAAAAAAAAAAAAAAAAAATTACAATATTCTCCATGGGGAAGTGGAGAAGAATTCTTCCTCAGTAAGCTGTGTGTGTCATAAGAGGTGACTAAAATGCTGGGAGCAAGGGGCAAGTAACCCTTTCTCCTGTATAAATTACTAAATTTAAAAAAAAAAAACTTTAGTTTTTCTTTATAAGTCACCTTGCCTTGGTGGGATATGGCTGGTTCAGGGTCTTAAGGGCTCTTAATCTAAGGACCTAGAGCTACTCTTCCCTTCCTTGGACTAGACTTGATTACCTCCCATTTGCTAAGCATTGTTTTACCTCCTCTGTAAAATTGTCATGCTGCTGCTATGCAATATATATACGTACGTATTTTTATTAACACACTGGCTTACAGAGAAAGGATGTGAAATATACATATATTGTAATTGCTTTTATTGCATTGTGAATAGTAAGGCAAAATTTAATTTTGCATTCTATATTTAGGTCATTATTACCTGAGTGTGAGGATGATGAGGTGTTTTTGTGGGAGCAAGAGCAGTTACGAGATGAAGATTGGTGTGAGGATCCTATATGCAGGTACGATCAATAAAATTTTAACATTTTCCATTTGTTTTGTTTTATATTATTGATGAAAACACTAATAAGTATGAAGTGTATTGTAAATATTTTGAAAATGTGTAAAAAAAATTACCATTGATCTAAATACAGACTCTACAGCAAGCATGTTGCATTGCATTTGTGTCTTGGCGTATTTATGTAAATCTCTGTGAAAAATTTCTGACCTTGTGAATTAACAACTTTTTAACTTCTTAAATACTATATTAAGTTTGTCTTTACTTTGCACTTATCATAATATAACAGTTTTACTTAATTATTTCCTGGGCTGCTATTTTATTCGACATTTCATTATATTACATAATTTAAATTATACCTTTGGTATTTCCATCCCATCTAATGTGTTTACTCTACATTCTGATCCTAGGTAATTGTTTCACCCTATTTTACCTGCAGGGAAGCAGTAAATTGGGGGGAGGGAGATCCAGCCAGTTTCTTATACACAGAGCATCCCAGTTTGGAAAAGTTTCGAGGGGTGAACCTTACAAATGAAATGGTCAGTGAGTGGTATCAGGAACGTGCTCGAGAGATAGAAAGTTGTAGCCACTTTGTTGATGCTGCATTAGACCTTCTGAAACTAGGGCGGGAGAGAGGTGTTGAGGTAAGAAATTCTAGCTTTATAAAGTACAGTAATTATAATTGACTGTCATTCTTTGTGGATATATACTGGTAATGAGCTGCTTATCCAACATCCCAATATCTGGCAGGACATGAAAACTGGCTGCACTTAAAGCTGGTACATCCTGGGTAGCAATTTGAAGTGCTCCTTTGCTATGGTTGTATCATTGATTCCTGTGTTGATTTCACTTGATATAGTCTCACTTGCAGTGTCATGATGTTTTTTTTGTCATCTCGTTATGTATACTGTACTTTCTCCTCCATAACATCACGTGCTATTTTTATTGTCCTTTGTCTAATTTGTGTTTCAGAATCTGGAGGAACTGCATGACACACTAGATTCCTTAGAAGTGCTAGTGTATGAAGTCGGCCTCACCTCCATGACCCTTGAAAAATATTCCAAACTCTCCGATGATGAGAAAATTGTGCAACTCTTGTCAACAGTTAGTTTAACTGTACTTTTTTTCCTTTTATCTTCTTCTAAGTACAAAACCTAATTAGTTTTTAAGTTTCGTTATATCAGACATGGGAATTTTTAACCCTTTGAGGGTCGACAGGCCCTCTCCGAAACTCGTTCTCAGGGTCGGCCAAATTTAAAAAAAAAAAATTATTTTCTCTTATGAAAAGATAGAGAATCTTTTCCCGATCATAAAGACACCAAAAGTTTGAAATTTGATAGAAAACTTACGGAATTATGCTCTCGCAAAGTTAGCGGTCTCGGCGATGTTTACGCATCGGCGATTTTGCCCACTTTGAGCCCCATTTTCGGCCAATTTCACTGTACTAGTCGACAAAAAACATGAATATTTCGCTAGAACTCCATTTTTTCTATCGAATGGGTGCAAGAAACCACCCATTTATGAAATTCAACTATCCAGTACAGTGGTCAGAATTTAGCAATTTTGCCAATTTCACACAAATTTCAAAAGATGCCAATTTCCGAATAGGTCCAGAATAAACAAGAAAGACATTCCTGGCACTAAAATGACATTTCCTTAGTCATTAGTCACGTCTCAAGGCCCCTCTTATATTCTTTTGCTTTCCACTTTGAATTTTTATTTTCACAAAAAATATAAGATTTACTGTTATGCAGACTACTGCATTAGTGTAAAAATGGTATAAATATTATTGGTGAAACTTGTGAAAGAATATTAGACTCCACCAGTTGACGTGTATTGCACGCTTGGCACGATTTGTTTACTTTTGAAGTTTGGTAAAAATCAAACATTTCTGCTACTTTGAGCTCAATTTCAAGGCACTTTCATTGTAAAACCAGTCAAAATCATCTAAATTTTCTGTAATATGTCTTCCATTCTATAAAAAGAGACAAGAAAACTAGAATACAACAATAAATACCATATGAAAATACACTGCAAAGTCGCTGATTTATTAAAAAAAATGGTCAAAGTTTTTTTTTTCTCATTATGCACTGTGTGCTGCAGGATTTTTTTTAGACTGTGCACACTGACCACATAGACCCATCTTTCATGTGAAGGCCTACCAGCTTTCTCCCACTAGATTTGAGGCCGCTAGAATTTATGAGTACTAGTACGTCAAAAACCCCTACGCGCAAGACGTACTAGTACGACCAAAACCCTCAAAGGGTTAAGATCCCTCTGTCTTTTTGGATGTGAGGTCCCTGGAACTATTTGAGACTCGCATGAATTAGTGAACTCACATGAATTAGTGGGATGTTTGAATGTGTATGGATGTTGTGCGAATGAAAAGAAAGAGATGATTGTGGATGTTATGAATGAGAAGAAGCTGGATGTCCTGGCTTTAAGTGAAACAAAGCTAAAGGGGGTGGAAGAGTTTCAGTGGGGAGAAATAAATGGGATTAGAGAAGGTTTCAAATAGAGTTAGAGCTAAAGAAGAAGTAGCAATGATGTTGAAGAATAAGTTATGGCAGGAAAAGAAGGATTATAAATGTATACATTCAAGGATTATGTGGAGTAAAATAAGGGTTAGATGTTAAAAGTAGGTTATAGTAAGTGTTTATGCACCTGGAGAAGAGAGAAGTGTAGAGGAGAGAGAAAGATTTTGGGAAATGTTGAGTGAGTGCATGGGGAGTTTTGAACCAAGTGAGAGAGTACTTGTGGTTTGGGATCTCAATGCTAAAGTGGGTAAAAATGTTGTGGAGGGAGTAGAAGGTAAATTTGGGGTGCCAGGGTAAAGGAAAATAGGTAGAAAGAGGTTTGGTAATAAGTAATACATAATACAAGATAAATAAGTGTGGAAATTAGAAGGTGTGGAGTTAATAAAAGTATTAGTCAGAGGGCTGAAGAGGGTTTGTTGAGGTGGTTTGGTCATTTAGAGAGAATGGATCAAAGTAGAATGACATGGAGAGCGTATAAATCTGTAGGGGAAGGAAAGCGGAGTAGGGGTCATCCTCGAAAAGGTTGGAGGGAGGGGGTAAAGGAGGTGTTGTGGGCGAGGGGTTTGGACTTTCAGCAAGCATGCGTGAGCATTTTAGATAGGAGTGAATGGAGACAAATGGTATTTAGGACCTGACGAGCTGTTGGAGTGTGAGTAGGGTAATATTTAGTGAAGGGATTCACGGAAACCGGTTATTTTATATAACCGGACTTGAGTCCTGGAAATGAGAAGTACATACAATGCCTGCACTCTAAAGGAGGGGTTTGGGATATTGGCAGTTTGGAGGGATATACAGTGGACCCTTGACTAACGCTATTAATCCGTTCCTGAGAGCTCATCGTTAGTCAAAATAATCGTTAGTCAAGTTAATTTTCCCCATAAGAAATAATGGAAATCAAATTAATCCATGCAAGACACCCAAAAGTATTGAAAAAAAAAAATTTTAACACATGAAATATTAATTTTAATACACACAAACTGAAGAAGACATGCACAGTTACATGACACTTACCTTTATTGAAGTTCTGGTGATGATTGATGGGATGGGAAGAGGGGAGTGTGTTGATGGTCTTAGTGTTTAGAAGGGGGAAACCCCTTCCATTAGGACTTGAGGTGGCAAGTCCTTTTTCGGGGTTACTTCCCTTCTTTTAATGCCACTAGGACCAGCTTGAGAGTCACTGGACCTCTGTTGCACAACATATCTGCCCATAGAGGCCTATACCTCCCGTTCCTTTATGACATTCCTAACGTGCTTCACAACATTGTCAGTGTCACCATTAAAAACTTGTTCAGGTTTCAGTCCTTCACTGTCTATGTACTCCTTGAATTCCTGCACATATTTTTCAGCTGCTTTTTGGTCCAAAAATGGCAGCCTCACCATGCCTTATCACACTATGTATGCCACTACGATTCTTAAATCTCTCAAACCAACCTTGCTGGCCTTAAATTCACTCACATCACCACTAGTTGCTGGCATTTTTCTAATTAAATCGTCATGCAACTTCCTAGCCTTTCACATATGATCACTTGAGAGATGCTATCTCCTGCTATCTGTTTTTCGTTTATCCATACCAATAACAGTCTCTCAACATCTTCTATCACTTGCGATCTCAGTTTCGAAAACATAGTTGCAACCTTTGGCAAGAACAGCTTCCTTGATTGCCGTTTTCTTGGCCACAATAGTAGCGATGGTTGATTGGGGTTTTGTGTACAGCCTGGCCAGCTCGGAGACATGCACTCCACTTTCATACTTAGCAATGATCTCTTTCTTCATATCCATAGTAATTCTCACCCTTTTTGCTGCAGGGTTGGCACTACAAGCTTTCTTGGGGCCCATGGTGACTTATTTTGCAGTTGCAATCACTAAAAAGGCTGTGATAATATGAAATGTTGCGATTGTATGCTTGGAAGCGACTGCGGTGGCTGGCTGGCTTGTAAACACTGGCCAGAAGTGGACGCGTCTCAGACGGAAGGAATAGTGTTGGTCGAGTTTTTTAGCGCTAATCAAGGCAAAATTTTTGCGATAAAATGTATCGCTAGTCAGATTTATCGTTAATCGATGCCATCGCTGGTCGAGGGTCCACTGTATTGTGTATTTTTATATGTATATACTTCTAAACTGTTGTATTCTGGGCACCTCTGCAAAAACAGTGATTATGTGTGAGTGAGGTGAAAGTGTTGAATGATGATGAAAGTATTTTCTTTTTGGGGATTTTCTTTCTTTTTGTGTCACCCTGCCTCGGTGGGAGACGGCCGACTTGTTGAAAGAAAAAAAAAAGTATACAAGGCATGATATAGCACATAAGAAAGTAGTTTGTTAGATTATGTATTGGTGATAAAAGGTTGATGGGTAAGCTTCAGGATGTTCATGTTTATAGAGGAGCAACTGATATCGGATCATTATTTAGTCATAGCTACAGTCAGAGTAAGAGGTAGATAGGACAAAAGGAAAATGGCAAGAGCAAGTGAGAGAGAGGTGAAAGTGTTAAACAAAGGGAGAAGGAAGTTAGGGCAAGATATAAGCAACTATTGGCAGAAAGGTGAGCTAGTGCAAATATGAGTAGTGGAGGGGTTGAAGAGGGTTGGAATAGTTTTAAAATGCAGTACATGTATTAGAATGTGGGGCAGAAGTTCGTGGTTATAGGAGGGTGGGTGCAGGAGGAAAGAGTAGTGATTGGTGGAATGATGAAGTAAAGGGTGTGATAAAAGAGAAAAAGATAGCTTATGAGAGGTTTTTACAAAGCAGAAGTGTTATAAGAAGAGCATAGTATATGGAGAGTAAAAGAAAGGTGAAGAGAATGGTGAGAGAGTGCAAAAGGAGACCAGATGATAGAGTGGGAGAGGCACTGTCAAGAAATTTTGCAGAAAATAAGAAAAAAAAAATTGGTGTGAGATAAAGAAGTTAAGAAAAACCTAGGGAACGAACGGATTTGTCAGTTAAAAACAGAGTAGGGGAGTAGTAGATGGGGAGCTGGGGGTATTGGATAGATTTTAAATGTCGATGAACAAAGGGAGGTGGTAATTTCATGCACTGGCCAGGAGGTATAACATCTTTTAGGAGCGAAGAAGAGCAGGGTGTAAGTGTGGGGAAGGTGTGTGAGGCAATACGTAAAATGAAAGGGGTAAAGCAGCTGAAACTGATGGGATCATGACAGAAATGTTAAAAGCATAGGGGGGATATAGTGTTGGAGTGGTTGGTATTTTTTTTTAATAAATGTATGAAAGAAGGGAAGGTACCAAGAGATTGGCAGAGAGCATGTATAGTTCCTTTATATAAAGGGAAGGGAGACTAAAGAGATTGTAAAAATGATAGGGGAATAAGTTTACTGAGTATACCAGGAAAAGTGTACAGTAGGGTTATTATCGAGAGAATTAGAGGTAACGCAGAGAGTAGGATTGCAGATGAGCAAGGAGGCTTTAGAGTGGGTAGGGGATGTGTAGATCAAGTGTTTACATTGAAGCATATAAGTGAACAGTATTTAGATAAAGGTAGGGAAGTTTTCATTGTATTTATGGATTTAGGAAGGGCATATGATAGAGTGGATAGAGGAGCAATGTGGCAGATGTT